GCTTGTTTTCACAGTGCTGGAGGAGGAGGCAGAATGAAGAGGAGGAGGAAGAGGCAGAATGAGGCCAGCGATGGAACGAGAGAAACCCCTGGTTCGTGCCTCTCTGGGGTCCCCCTAAGGTGGCGTGCAAGGCCCTCGCGGAGAGGGCCTACCAGGAGGTCCTCAAGACGGCATCGTGGCAGGCTGTCTATTATTATCTTCTCCGCATTCTCCTTGTCCCCTCCGCCCCCCTCTCTTCGAAGGATTGACGTTGACCTGCATCCTCGCTTCCAGGCCACCTACATCTAGATATCCGACATTTTGGTTTCTGCCAACCCATCCAGTGGTGAAGGGTCTTCGCTTTGAGGAGATTGCGCCGCGCTCCACCTCACCTGCCTTCCTCGTGCTCCTCCTCGCTCCTTCCCTCTCTGCCGCCGCTCTCCGCATGCACATGTCGCCCCACCCCTCATGCGCTTCCATGCCCCACAGGGAGCTCCACCGAAGACCACAGTGGCAGTGCTCACGTGCGGCACACGTGTCGTGGCCCAGTAAGGAGCCGTTTCCGAAGGCCACAGCAGCAGTGCTCACATGCGGCCCCGCACCCATTTCGGCGCACCCCGCACACGCTTCGTGGTCCCACGGGGAGCTCCACCGAAGGTCACAGCAGCAGGGTCCGTACAGCGTCCTCCCGCCCACTTCGGCTCATCCTTCACGCGCTTCGTGGCCGCACAGGAGGCTCCACCTCGGTCCCCAGCGTGTGCGTTCAAACGCGGCTCCCCGCCCATGTCGGCGCACCCCGCACACGCTTCGTGGCCCCATAGGAGCTCCACCTGAGGCCCAGTGGGTGCGTCCACCCTCATACACTTCGTGGCCCCATAGGGAGATGAGATCCCCCTCCTTCGTCCCAACTGCCTCGCGGTATGCACACTTGCATATGGATGTGTCCTTCGCCAGGATAGTTCCATCACGTGGCCCCCTAGAGGTCTGGATCCCTTCCCCGGTACCAGTTTCTCATCCTGAGTCGTTGTGTGCTTGTCTTAGCGCCGCCAGGTGAGGATCCCCAGAAGCCGAAAACGGGACCCCCAGAAGCCGAAAACGGCCAACCACCAATCCTTCGTGATTTTGTTTGCGACGCGAAGATACCAGGGCACGTCTGGGCATATACCGCATCGTCTGTCATGCCTTCCGTCCTGCCGGCGGGTCGGCACGGGTTCGCAGCAGCGGCCCTGCAAAACCGGACTACGTTTGTCCTCTACAGTCTGCCTCGTCCTGTTCCTCGATCCACTTCCTCGTCATATGTCCTCCACGTTTCCTCCCTTTGCCCTGTCTGCCTCGTCCAACGTTCTTCATCATGATTTCCTCCTGCCACAGAGGGGAAGCGCCAGACGCCCTTGCTCAACCGCATCGACATCGGTGTCATCCCGAGGAAGGCGGGCTGGTCCAAGCTTTGTGGTCAGCCAGGGGGGGGGGCGTCAATCAAGGGCCGCCAGGGGGGGCTCCAGGGAGAAAACGGCACGACGCCCTCCCCCTCACCCCCCAACCCCTTCGCGCGCAGGAGCGAGAGGAGCGGAAGGAGGAGGTGGAGGAGGAGGAGGGAGGCGGGGGGGAGGGAGGGAGGAGGAGCGAGGGGCGAGGGGTTGGAGGAGGAGGAGGAAGGGGGGAGAGGATTAGGAGGGTGAAAGAAGAGAGAGCGAGAAAGAGATGAGAGAAGAGAGAGAGGAAGTAGCGGAGCGGATGAGGGATGAGGAGGAAGAGGAGGAAAGGAGGAGGAGGAGGTCCGTATGGAGGAGGCAGGGAGGAGGGAGGGTGGAGGGATAACAGAGAGAGAGAGAGAGAGGATGGCGAGGCAGGAGCAAGGAGGCGAGGGAAGGAAGGAGTGGGCGGAGGAGGAGGAGGAGGAGGAGGAAGGAGAGAAGCAGGCAGCGCACTAGAGGAGACAAGAAGATTGGACCAGCAGACCGGAGGGAGGAGGAGGAAGATGAGAGAGGAGAGGAGGAGGAGGAGGAGGAGGAGGAAGAAGAAGAAGAAGAAGAGGAAGGATGGAGGGGAGCAGGAGAAGGGGAGCAGCAGCAGTAGGAGGGAGGAGGAACAGCATAGCAGCGACGGGAGGCAGGAAAAGAAGGGAGGAGGGAAGGAGGATGGCGCTGCTCCGCAGCGCCGCCTGCCTCCCCCCCCCCCGCATGTGGGGGTGGGGGCAGGAGGAAAACAACAACAACAACAACAACAACAACAACAACAACAACAACAACAACAACAGCAGCAACAACAACAACAACAAAAAGTGTGGAGCTTACAGTTCAAACACAGTTTGGATCATGTATCCCGCCCTGCGCGGCCGCCAGAAAACAGCGACCCGAGCCATCCACCCAGGCAAGGGGGATCAAGATTTAAGCCTCCTGTTTAAAGTCAGTAGCAAAGCTTTCCCTCCCTGTACGCACTCGTTATACATTTCCTCCCCAACATTCCTACGCCCGTGGGCTCCGCGAAGAAAAACGAAGAATAAAGTTCAGCTGCATGACATATCATGTTGGTCGTCAGCTGCTTCTTGGGGAAGGCAGGCAAGGACAGGGAGCATAGGCAGAGGTGTAGTAGGCAATCAAGGTGAAGAGAAACGCGGGCTTCCCATCGACGGGCACGGCTCGCGAAGAGGCCTTCGCAAGCCTGTCTGGATAAGAAGGAAACCGCTCATCTGTGCCATTTAATGGCAGACTCGCGGGTGTCGCGGGTGAGCTCGATGAGAGGGCCTCCGAGCAGAGACCCGCCTTGCAGAGAAGAACAAATGCCAACGACTGTTCACGCAAAGGCAGGACGCAAGGGTGTCGGGGGGGGGGGAGCTCCATAGGAGGGCCCCCGAAAAGAGACCCATCTGCCCACCTGCAACACAGCAAGCTGCTCTACTGCTATACAGAGGTGGGGCGTCGGCGGGCGCCCCGCCAAGATATCATCACTACTGACAGCGTGCGCTTAGTTTGGGAGGAGCTCTAAGGGATGGCATTTAGCTAAAGAGGTGGACCCGCGGGGGAGGAGGTACGGGGGGCGTTCCATCGGTGGCCGCAACTCGCAGAGAGGCCCCTGTAACACTGCCCAGGTGGCGTACATATACATATATATATATGTGTACTTATATATACATATGTATATGTACACATACATACATACATACATACATACATACATACATACAGACAGCGACAGACAGACAGACAGACAGACAGACAGACAGACAGACAGACATGCATGCATGCATGCATGCATGCATGCATGCATACATTCATGCATACATGCATACATACATGCATACAACCATACATACATACATACGTACGTACGTACGTACATACATACATAGATACATAGATACATACATACATACATACATGCATGCATCCACACACACACACATACATACATACATACATACATACATACATACATACATACATACATACATACATACATACATACATACATACATACATACATATGTATATATGGGTAGGGGGTCCCGGGGCCCCCAAAGTTTTGATTTGTCTTCCGGCCGTTCGGGCCCGGCGGGGAGGCACCAAGAAAATTCAAAGGGGGCCGAGAGACGTCCGAGAGGGCGCCAAGACGGCCCAAAAGCGCTCCAAGAGAGCCCAAGGCCGCGGAGAAGGAGGAATGAGGAAGAGGCAAAAGGAAACAGATAATATTGACCTCATTATTGATGACCGCCTTGTTATCTCAATGCGGTCAGCACTCGATCAGCTAGAACCTAAGCGCGCGCGAAGCGCGCGTGATGGTTCTAGTATTTGAATATATATATATATATATGTGTGTAACTATGTATATATATGTATCTGTATATATACAGATGTATATCTACACGCATATACATATGTATGTATGTATGTATGGATGGACGGATGGATGGATGGATGTATACACATACATACAGAAATAAGTATATACATATACATGTGTGTCTATGCATGCGTGTGCGAATATATTCATGAGTCGCTCACCCTTTCATTTAACGGCAGACTCGCAGGTGTCGGAGGGGGGAGCTTCATGAAAGGACCCCCGAGCAGAAACCCGCTTTGCCAAAAAGAAAAGATAGACAGCCCTGCTCACCTAGAGACAGAACGTGTGGGTGTCGGAGGGGGAGCTCCAAAGGAGCGCCCCCGAACAGAGACCCATCTGCAAGCAATTGCAAAAGCAAGCTTAGAAGCTGAGCGCCGTTGTTGGGGGGAGTTTCATAAGGACCTCCGAACAGAGACCCATCGACTAGACTGCGACAGCTGCTGCTATCCTGTTCTACCTGGCGGGGGCGTCGGAGAGGGAGGAGGAGGAGGAGGAGGAGGACGAGGAGGAGGAGGAGGAGGAGGAGGAGGAAGAGGAGGAGGAGGAGGAGGAGGAGAAGGAGGAGAGGGAGAAGGAGGAGGAGAAGGAGGAGGAGGAGGAGGAGGAGGAGGAGGACGCGCCCACGTACGTTTCCTCCGCCCCCTCCTATGCCAGGCCAGAGGCCTGGATCTGGCCTCGCTGTGCGGAGAGGGAATGGCGAAACAATGTGCGCGTCTTCACCGCGGCCCCTTGGGGGCTCGGGGCACGGCTGGGGGGCTCCCAGCAGCGGAAGCACGCACGAGAGCCACCCGAGGAGAGAGGAGGGAGGGAGGGAGGGAGGGAGGGAGGGAGGGAGAGGACGGAGGGGAGGGGAAGGAAGGAGAGAGGAGGGAGGGGGGGAGGGGAGGGAGGGAGGGAGCGAGCGACGGAGAGAGGAGGGAGGGAGGGAGGGAGGGAGGGAAGGAAGGAAGCTCTCTTCGGCCCTCGCCCCCCGCCGTGCTCCGGTCCAGGAAGGGCGGGGACTCGCTGCACAAGACGGACAACACGTATTTCGTGAACGAGACTGGGCCCCAGAGGGCCCCGACCTGTCGATCGGGAGGGAGGAGGAGGAGGAGGAGGAGGAGGAGGAGGAGGAGGGACGATGAGGAGGAAGAGGAAGACGAAAGGAAGGATGATTGGGCAGGACAGAACGAGAAGAAGGATGAGAAAGTGAAGTAAGAGGTCGAAGGGGGAGGAGTGAGCGAGGATCGAGGAGCGAGGGGCGAGAAGGAGTTGAAGGAGAAGGAAAAGGAGGAGGAGGAGGAGGAGGAGGCTCAGGTGGACAGCCCAGGGCTTGCCGAACCACCTCTTGCGCTCGCACCTGCACGACCTGGTGGCCGTCCGGGCCTACGACACGGTGCTTCGCGGCCTCTGGAATGACCTCCTGGACGTCGACATGACCAATCGGGAGTGGGTGCAGTCCTGTTTGCCCCTCCGGGATGGCGGTCTCGCGGCAGGCGCGGCCGAGCCTCGGCGGGAGGCGGCGCACCTCGCCGCGTGGCTCGACGCTGCTCCGCGGGCTGCGGCGGCGGTTGGGGCCACCGGCGCCGAGGCTCTCCTCGCCGCGCGCGCTGCAGGCACGCAGGGATTTGAAGCCGCTGCGGTGACGTACAACGCTTCGGTCGGCGCAGACCACTGCCTGCAGACGTCGCTGGCCCAGGGAGAGCGCCACCGACAGAAGGACCTGGTGGGCCCGCGGATGAAAGTGATTGCAGGCGTCGCCAAAGCTGGCCTGGACCACCGCGAGCGCGGTCGCCTGCTGCCGGGGGCTGGCGCTTTCACCACGTTGCCGACTAAGCCTGAACACAGGATGCATCCTGAGCTGTACCGCATCGCGTTGCGGCGGCGCCTTCTGATGACGGGCGCACGGCTGCTGCGCGGACTGGAACCACAGACGCACTGTCGAAACACATCCCGAGAGGGGGTGCTTTGCGGAGCGGTTCTGGAACCCGACCAGCACCACGCCTTGGCGTGCGAGACGGGAAGGCGCCGCGCGGCGCGACACAATCGCATTCGCGACTTGCTGGCCCGCTGGCTTGCCCGGCACGTCCCAGCATGGGTCCAGAAGGAGCAGACTGTGCCCCAGTGGCAGAGGACCCGCCGATCCGTCGTGGATGGTGTCGAGACGGCGCGCGTCAAGACGGCGGTCCTTAACGTCGTCTGAGCCCACCAAGGCGCCGCGAAGGCGGTGGACGTGGTCGTGGTTAGCCCGGACAGTACTGACGCGAGGAAGGAGCGCGCTCGGGCGGAGAAGCCTGGCCTTGCAGCGGAGGACGCGGCCCGCGAGACTTGCAGCGGAGGACGCGGCCCGCGAGAAGCGGCGCCGGTACCCGCCAGGGCCTACGACGCCTTTGCTCATTCTTTTTGCGATCGAGACTGGTGGACAAGTGGGCTCTGCTGCGAGACAGCTGATTCTGGATCACCTGGACAGCTCTGACGGAGAGGCAGGAGCGTCTGCCGATGCTGTCGCTTTCTGGCAAAAGCTCGGTGCTGTTTTGCAAACGGCGGTTGCTGAGCAGTTGCTGAGCGCCCACAAACCCCCTGTCGTCGGGGGCGAGCGCTGAACACAGTGGCCGATGCGGTTGCCGAGGGGCTGGATTCCCGTGCAAGCATCCTGCTGTGCACTGTCTTCTCCTTCTCCTCCTCTTCCCTCCTCCGTAGTCGTTTTGGCTACCTCCACCGTCGCTCTGTTTCACTCTGCTGATCCGCGCGCATGCTGCTGCAGTCCGCCTTTTTCCTCTCTCCTCCTCTCTCCCTCTCTTCCTCCCCCGCTCCTTGCCTCCGATGGGCGCGCACGCGCGCCAAACGGGGGGGGGTCGTTGGCGCAGGTCCCGTCTGCCGTGCGCGCCCGTCTCCCTTTCCTTCCGGTTCTCTCCTGCTCTCTCCTCCTTCCTTCTTTCCCCCCCCCGGGTCTTTCAGTGGGGGCGGCGTGCCCTGTCGCTGGTGCCTGGGTGGAATAACGCCCTCCACCGGGTACTGAGAAAAATCTATGTGATGGGCACGCCCCCTTCCGTGGTGGGTTTGGGACTGTCGGCCGACACGCCTGCCCCGGTGGACATCGGACCTAAAATGGGTCTGGCGCCAGGGCTGCGGATTATCTGGGGAGGAGGAGGAGGAGGAGGAGGAGGAGGAGGAGGAGGAGGAGGAGGAGGAGGAGGAGGAGGAGGAGGAGGGGGAGGAGGAGGAGGAGGAGGAGGAGAAGGAGGAGGAGGAGGAGGAGGAGAGAAGGTGGGGTCCAAGAGCGACCACAGTTGCAGGAGTTGGATGACCGGCCTCGGATTACTCACATGAAGCGCGGGCCCCGTAGGGAGGAGCTTCCGCACGAGTTCTCCTCGCGATTCACTCACAGACGAGGCCTTCGCTCGAGATTTCCTCGCGATTCACTCACAGACAAGGCTCCCACTCGAGACGTCCTAGCGCTTCAGGCCTCAGGAACCCAAAGGTGACAGCAGTTGAGGTTTCGGATGACCGTCTCGGGTTACCGATATAAAGTGCGAGCCCCATACGGAGAGGGCTCCCAAAAGTTTTGTCGTCGCGATTCCCTCATTCACGAGGCTCCCAGTCGAAAAGTCCTCCTGATCCAGGGGCCCGAGAGTGACGACAGCTACAGGAGTTGGAATGCCCGTTTCGCTTTACGAACATGAAGCGCGGGCCCTATAGGAAGGGGCTCCCGCTGGAGGCTTTGTCGCGGTTCATTCGCAGACGGGGTTCCCGCTCGAGATTTCTTCTCGATGCAGCCTTCAGGAGCCCAATAATGACAGCAGTTGCCGGATTTGCCTAAAGATTCACTGGCAGACGATGCTTCCGCTGGAGATTTCCGCGCGGTTCAAGCCCCGAGGAGCCCAAAAGTGACGGCAGTTTCAAATTGTTGGATGGCCGCCTCGGATTAGTAACATGAAATGGGGGCCCATAAAATCGACAGGGGGGTCCCGCTCGAGACTTCGTGGCGGCTCAAGCCTCAGGAGCCCAAAGGCTACAACATTTGAAGTTTTCAGATGGTCGCCTCGGAGTAGTAACATGAAATGGGGAGGGGGCTCCCGCTCGAGGCATCATGGTGGTTGAAGCCTCAAGATCCCAAAAGTGACGACAGTTACGCACAGGGTTGGATGGCCGCCTCGGATGAGTAACGTGAAGGGGGGGCCATAAGGAGAGGTTGTCGCTCGCCCGCTCGAGACGTCCCCGCGATTCACTCACACACGAGGCTCCCGCTCGAGACTCACGAATGACGAATATATGTGTGATTGGGTGTAGGCGTGAGTTTGCGTGTGAGTAAGAGCGTAAGTGAGTGTGTGTGAGAGAAGATGAGAAGATGTGAGTGTGCAAGCGATGGCAATGGTGGTGATGATAATGATGCTGAGAATGTTGATGACGCGAATGATGATGGTGATGATGATGATGGAGATGATACTGATGATGATGACGTTGATGGTGATGATGATGATGATGATGATGATGATGATGATGATGATGATGATATGATGATGTTTGTGATGGTTGTGCTTATGATTGCGACGGTGACGATAATGATGATGCTGATGATGATGATGATGATGATGATGATGATGGTGGTGGTGATGATGGTTATGCTGGCGATGACGATGATGCTGATAATGATTATGATGGTGATGATGATGACGATGGCGACGGCGATGGCGATGATGGTGATAATGATTATGATGGTGATGATGATGATGACGATGGCGACGGCGATGGCGATGATGGTGATGGAGATGGTGATGATGATGGCGATGATGGTGAGGATGATGGTGGTGGTGACGGTAATGGTGATTATGATGATGATGATGATGATGATGATGATGATGATGATGATGATGATGGTGATGGTGATGGTGATGGTGATGGTGATGTTGATGAGGATCGTTGATGGTGATAAAGGTGGTCATGATGGAGGTAATGATGGTGCCAATTATGATAATGATAGTACGTGTGTGGGGGGGTCCTCTGGTAACTGCGCGTGGTGTCCAGATAAAACAAGAACCCCACCTAGGATGTGGGGAATGATCTGATCGAGAACGGCCATCGGACGCCGAAATTATCCAAAAGTTTCAGTCGCTATGTTTTAACAACGCCTTTAAATCAAGTCTGGGTCAGGACAGTCGAAGACCAAACAACCACATGAACATGAACTTTCGGAGGTCCACTCGGATTTCTTGGGTCGGCGCTGGACGCCCTTTTCGCGCTCCTCTACGGCGCCTCTGGTGCCACCCCTACGTGCCCCGCGCGCCAGGGAAGGGGTGTAAAGGGAGGGGGCCCAGCGCCGTTCCAAGAAATCCGTCCAGACCTCCGAGTTTCCCGGTTATGCAGTTCTTACTATTCGAGACCAGGGTCAGGTCATGGGTCCCCCTGGATTTGTGCGTCCTTTCCAAGGATCGAGCTGATCATGACCACGTGGCTCGACCGGTACGCCCCGATCAGCGTGCAGGACAGCGGCGGAGGGAGAAGCAGGAGGAAGGGGAGAGGAAGGAGCAAAGGTGGGGGGGAGGCAGTCCGGGTTCCAGGACGACGGCAACGAGCAACCAAGACGACCGGGCAGGAAGCCAGCGCGAAACGATGCCGAGAACGCGTCACGGAGGCTGATCTCGGAGCACGCAGATGTAAGAAATGGTTGGATCTGCCTGCTGTGCTCGAGGAGAGGGGGAAGAGGAGCAGCAGCAGGGGGAGAAGTTGGAGAACGACAGTTACCACTTTGACAAGGAGGAGGGGGAAGAAGAGGAGGATGATAAGGAGGAGCAGGATGTGCAGAAGGTGGAGGGAAGGCATGCGGGTTGAATGAGATGGAACATGGTAAGGGGGAGGAGGATGAGGAGGAGGAGTAGGAGGAGGAGGAGGAGGAGGAGGAAAGGGAGGAGGAGGAGGAGGACGAGGAGAGGAGGAGGAAGAGGAGGAGGAGGAGGACCAGGGTCGGGATGGGGACCAGGGTTCTATCAGGACAAGATCTGTAGAACGAGAGAGGGTGAGCGTGAGGATGAGGGTTAGGACGGAGGTAAGGGTGCCATCGAAGATGAGGATCACGAGGATAAGGACTGGGGCTCGGGTTGAGGAGGACGGAGGAAGAGGAGATGGAGAGTTTGCCTGTTGTCTGGGTCGAGGACGTCATGGCGCAGGCTGCGGTAAAGCATTCCTTGGAGCTGCTGGCGGGCCTCCTCAAGTCCAAGACCAAGGTGCCCGACAGGGACAAGGTGAAGAAGGTGGTGGAGGCACTCAACACGAGGCTCGGGCCATTCAAGCACATCAAGGTCTGACGGAGCGCCAGCTGTCGAGGGGCTGGGCGATGAACTTCCCACCTCCAGCCCGCGTCCGCGGCGTACTGGCCGCCGCGCGGCGCGCTGGTGGGCAGCCCACCGACGGGGGGCCCGCCCCTGCTTTTAAGCTTGGCCGGGACGGCAATGTGACAGAGCATCGGGGGGCTCACGCTCGCATTGAGACAGGTCCGTGGACGAAAGAAAAGCGGCGCTGTCGCGGGCATTGGGAGGCTGCCGTGAGGGAGCTGTGTTGGGCGAATGCCCCGGGGCTTCCATGTCGGCGTTGTTGTGTCAAGGTTGTCGGGGGTAAAGAAACATACACACATGAACGTCGATTCTCATGAAAATGCGAGAAACATGGGAAGTGGAGGGGGAAGACGAACACCCAGGAAATGTGGGAAATATGGGGGAAATCCTTGGGTTTGTGTCCAGTTCTTTGTGTCTCCCCGGGCCCCTTCAGGCTGGGCCGGAGATGACCGGACCGAGGCTCCCCGAGAGCTCGCGCCACCCCCGCGCCCGAAGAGACGAGGCCCCCAGCCGCGCCGCCCAGAGCCGTCTTGTCCCACTCCTCGCGCCGAGTCCGCCTCGAGCGGCGAGAACGGCGACGAGCTCCAAGCCGGCGCCTTCGCGCGGGAGGTCCTGGCATCGTCGATCCCGCCGCGCTGCGCTGCGCGTCATCCGTCCTCCGCCCCGTGCGGTTTTGGGGGCAGCGCGCCCTCTCGGCGCCAGCCAGCGCCGCTTAGCTCCCCGAGGAGTCCCCAAAAGCCGAGGGGGGACCCGCCGAGAGTCGATCCCCAGACCCTGCCGAGAGGCCCCAGAAGTGCCCCAGGGTGCCCCAAGCAGTCCTTCCGAGGCCCCAGGATGCTCCCGGATGTGGTTGGTGCGGCCCCCTGAGGCAAGAGAGGGAGAAAGGAAAAGTGGAGAGAGCGAGGACAGGAGGAAACAAGAGGGAATGGGGGGGCAAGGGGAGAAAGGAGGAGTGATGACGAAAAGGACGTAGCAGGAGGGAGAGGATTGGCATGTGAACCCTGACGAGCGAGTCGAGCGGGCGGGCTCGACGTGCGAGCCGAAGGTGCGGATCCTAATGATCGGGTCGGGCGGGCTCGACATCAAAGAGGAACGATGATGATGATGATGGTGATGGTGATGGTGATGGTGATGACGAGGGTGATGATGACGGTGGTAATGGAGATGGTGATGGTGGTGGTGATGATGATGGTGTTGGTGATGGTCATGGTCATGGTGGTGATGATGATGGTGAAGATGATGGTAATGGTGATGGTGGTGGTGATGGTGATGGTGATGAGAATGATGGTGATGCAGATGCTGGTGCTGGTGATGGTGATTGTGAGGGTGGTTATGGTGGTGGTGATGGTGGTGGTGGGGGTGGTGATGATGGTGATGGTGGTGATGATGTTCATGATGGTGATGGTAATGATGATGATGATGATGATGATGACGATGATGATGGTGGTTGTTATGGTGGGGGTAGTCTTCACGATGATGACGATGATGATGATGGTGATGGTGGTGGTGGTGACGGTGGTATGATGATGGTGGTGATGGTGGTGGTGATGTTGGTGGTGATGGTGGTGCTGATGGTGATGGTGATGGTGGTGATGGTGACGATGATGATGATGATGATGATGATGATGACGGTGATGGTGATGTTGATCGTGGGGGTGGTGATGATGATGGTCATGGTGGTGCTGGTGATGATGATGGTGATGCTGATGGTGATGGTGGTGATGTTATGGCGGTGGTGATGATGATGGTGATGATGGTATTGATGATGATGGTGATGGTGGCGGTGGTGATGATGGTGATGGTGGTGATGATGATCATGATGGTAATGGTGACGATGATGATGACGATGATGATGGTGATGGTGATGGTGGGGATGATCATCACGATGATGATGATGATAATGATGGTGGTGGTGGTGACGGTGATGATGATGATGGTGATGATGGTGATGATGATGGTGATGATGATGGTGATGATGATGGTAATGGTAATGCTGATGGTGGTGGTGATGGTGATGGTGATGAGAATAATGGTGATGCAGATGCTGGTGCTGGTGACGGTGATTGTGAGGGTGGTTATGGTGGTGGTGATGGTGGTGGTGGGGGTGGTGATGATGGTGATGGTGGTGATGATGTTCATGATGGTGATGGTAATGATGATGATGACGATGATGATGGTGGTTGTTATGGTGGGGGTAGTCTTCACGATGATGACGATGATAATGATGGTGATGGTGGTGGTGGTGGTGACGGTGGTATGATGATGGTGATGATGGTGGTAGTGATGTTGGTGGTGATGGTGGTGTTGATGGTGATGGTGATGGTGGTGATGGTGGCGATGATGATGATGACGGTGATGGTGATGGTGATCGTGGGGGTTGTGATGATGATGGTCATGGTGGTGTTGGTGATGATGATGATGATGGTGATGGTGATGGTGATGATGTTATGGTGGTGATGATGATGGTGATGATGATATTGATGATGATGGTGATGGTGGCGGTGGTGATGATGGTGACGGCGGTGATGATGATCATGATGGTGGTGGTGACGATGATGATGACGATGATGATGGTGATCGTGATGGTGGGGATGATTATCACGATGATGATGACGATGGTGATGGTTGTGGTGGTGGTGACGGTGATGATGATGATGATGGTGGTGGTGATGGTGATGATGGTGATGATGGTGATGGTGGTGATGGTGATTGTGGTGATCATGATGATGGTGATGATGATGGTGTTGGTGGCGGTGGTGGTAAAGATAATGATGGTGATGGTGGTGATTGTGGAAGTGTGGTGATGATAATGGTGGTTGTGATTGTGTTGATGGTGATAGTGGTGTTGATGATGATGATTATGGTGGTGATGGTGGTGATGCTGATGATGACGGTGATGATGGTGATGGTGGTGGTGACCATGAGGATGGTGGTGGTGATGATCATGGTGGTGACGCTGACGGTGGAGGTGATGGTGGTGATGCTTATGACGATGATTATGACAATAATGTTGATAGCCTTGATGATGATAATGGTGTTGATGGTGGTGGCGATGCTGATCTTGGTTATGGTGATGATAATGGTGGTGGTGATGCTGATGATGGTGATGGTGGTGATGGTGATTGTGGTGATGATGGTGGTGACGATGATGGTGATGATGATTACAAGGATGATGGTGGTGATAAAATGATGATGGTGATTGCGATGGTGGCGGTTACCGTAATGACGGTTATGGTGGTGACGGTGGCGGTGATGGTGGTGTTGGTTATGGTGATGGTGATCATGATGATGTTGGTGTTTGTGATGGTGGTGATGATGATGGCCGTGAGGAAAGAATGATGGTGATAGTGGTGGTAATGGTGACGATGGTTGTGGTGATGGTGACGGAGGTGGTGATGAGTAGGATGGTTATGGTGGTGATGGTGATGATGATGGTGATGCTGGTTATGGTGATGGTGATGATTGTGGTGATGATGGTGATGATGCTGTTGGTGATGGTTCTACTAGTAGTGTTGGTTATGGTGGTGGCACTGGTGATGACGATGATGATGATGATAAGGATTTGATGATGCCCATGGTGGTGATGATGATGGTGATGGAGATTGTGATGGTGGTGATGATAATGGTGCTTGCGATGGTGTTGATGATGATGATTGTGAAGGTGATGGTTGTGGTGGTGATGCTGATGATGGTGATGGTCGTGGTGGCGATGTGTGGTGGTGGTTATGACAATGATGATGGTGCTGGTGTTGGTGGTACTGGTGATGATGATGATGATGGTGACTGTGGTGTTGATGATGATGGTGATGGCCATGGTGATGGTTATAGTGATAATGATGCCAGAGGTGGTGCTGGTGATGGCTATGATGATGATGGTGGTGGAGGTGGTGATGGTCATGATGATGATGATGGTGATGGTGACGGTGGTTGTGGCGATGATGATGATGGTGGTGATGGTGATGTTTGTGGTGCTGTTCATGGTGATGATGGTGATGACGGTGGTGGTGACGGCGATGATTATGATGATTGTGATGATCATGATGACGATGGTGGTGGTGGTGGTGATGATGATGGTGTTGATGGTGATGAGGATCTTGATGGTGATGGTGATGATGATGATAATGATTGTGATGGCGATGGTGATAGAAAGGATGATGATTGTGATGGTGATGGTGGTTTGTCACGATAATGATGATGATGGTGATGGTGATGGTGAAAATTATAATGATGACGATGGGCATGTCATGATGATGACGATGGTGATGGTGATGGGGGCGATGATGATCAGGATGGTAATGATGATAAAAGGTAGTGGTGATGATACTCATGATGGTGATGATGATGAGAAGGATGCTGTTGATGCTGATGACGATGTTGGTATTGGTGATGATCATGATGATGATGCCGATGATGGTGCTGATGATGATGGTGATGGCGATGGCGATGGCGATGGCGATGGTAATGGTGATGGTCATGGTGGTAGTGATGATGAGGATGAGAAAGGTTGATGATGATGGTGACGGTGATGATCTTCATCATCATCCTCATCATCATCCTCATCATCACAATCAGCCATCATCATCATCATCATCATCATCATCCTCATCATCATGACCATCATTATCATCATTATCCTGATCCTCGTCATCATCATCATCATCATCATCATCATCATCATCATCATCGCCGTCGCCGTCGTCACACATGTGCTTCCTGACGGGGCGGGCCGGGCGGACGGACCCTCGCGGGCGGGTCCACGGCAGACCGAGCGGGCGAGCGGCGCGCCCCGGAGGCGAGGCTGGCGGACACGGAGCGGGAGCTGGAGCGCCGGACGGCCCAGCGGCTGGACGCCGTCGCCCTGCAGACGCAGGAGGCGCCGCGCCGCGCCCGAGCACCGCCCCCCCTTGGTGTATTGCCTCGTGCTGCCTGGTCCGGTAGTCAGTGTCGCTACAGCGTCTCGTTCAGTACCCAGCGGTCGTTGAAGGCAGGCATTTTTCGGACTCCCAGATTCCACTCTACTTTGAGCGCCTGCTTCCTCCGATGATCGAGTGGTTTCACCTTTTCCCTCCTCTTCGGGGGGCGGGCGGAGACCCAATCTACTTCCAACGCCTTCTTACTTCATGCTTCTATCTACTTCTTCACAGGACTGCCCCCCACTGGTCCATCTCGATCCGGCCGATCCGGTCTGGTATCGATGTCGGCCGGCCCGATCCGGCTCGATGCCGAGGTTCCGACGATCTGATGCGCCTTGGCGCTTGCATGGTGCTGTGGTGCATCCTGGCGCGGCTGATGCGATCCGTGTTTTAAATCGCGCCCCGCGGTCCGGGAGGGAGGGGCGCTCCTTCCGCAGCGAGCGTTTGCACGCCATCGTGCCAGGCCAGGGACATCCTGGGGCCTCAGGATGATGTATTTACAGGCCCTCCTGGCCTCGGGCAGGCGGGCGTGCGCACGATGCACAGGCCCCCCTGGTCTCGCCAGGATCTCAGGGTGCAGGCCCCCACCCAGACTCGGCCACGAGAGCCCGCGCACCATCCCATGGCCCAGGATGGCCCTGGCCAGGCACGGTGGTGGTGCCTCCTCCTCCTCCTCCTCCTCCTCCTCCTCCTCCCCCTCCCCCTCCTCCTCCTCCTCCTCCTCCTCCTCCTCCTCCTCCTCCTCCTCCTCCTCCTCCTGCTCCTCCTCCTCCTCCTCCTCGGGCCGTAGCCATGTTGGCTCAAGTTCGACACCTTGCCACGAGGTTTCGAGCTTGTCCGCAGCCGTGCGGCAGGTTCGGGAGTTCCTCGGCGTGTGATCCACCTGGTGAGCTGCCAACGCCACCAGGTCGCTTTCCGTGTGCGGCTCCTGGAGCCCGTCGTCATTATTCTTCCGTGGGCTCCTGTTGGAACACCTGGCCCGCACCCGCTTTTGCAACACTGGGTGATGGGCTGGATCTATGCGCCATGGACAAAGAAATCTCGTACAGGTGGACGCAGCTCCCAAGCCAAGAAAGAGCACAGCGTGTGCTCAGTTTGCAAGCACTGGGAGGACGACTTCCACGGCCACAAGTGTTGTTCGAAGTGTCAAGGTGATTACCTCCAGCGTCCTCGAGGCGGTGCCCGTGATGCTGGTGATAAGCGTGGTGGTGGCCGCGTTTGGAAAGGCAAAGGGGATAGAGAAGGTCTTTCACTCGATGCTGAGCTCGAGCGCTTTGCAGGCCTTTTCCCTGAGTGTGCTGATGCTCTACGCGGTGCTCGGAGTGCTGAACCCCGTCCGCCCGCCCGTGAGCCTGTTGTGTCATCCGACAATGAGTTGGACAAGAAAGTCGCCAAGCAACGCACCGCACTTGCTATGGCTGTTGAGCGTGATTCTAAAGCTGAAAGATTGGCTCTGTTCGAGGTTGAGCAGCTTTTGGCGGCGGTGGTCCGCCACAAGGAGGCCTTGGTCAAGGCTGAAGCTGCTCATGCAGAAGCTGCTGGGCAGTTGGAGCAAGCCGCTGCCGCCCATCGTGCTGCGTACGAGGAAATGTATACATTCGGCCCTGCGGAATTCCGACGGCAAATATTGGCTGATGAGCAAGCCGAACGTGATATTCGTGAGCGCGAACGACGTGCTGCTGCTGATGCGCGTGGCCCTCCTGCCCCAGGCGCTGGTGCTGCTGGCCCTGGGAATCGTGATCCAGGTAGCGCTGATGCAATGCATGTCGATGATGGACGTGCCCCTGCTGCGCGCCCACATGGTGTACCTGCCCCTGCTGGTGTACCTGATGGCGAAGGGCATGCTGAAGGACCAGGAGGTGCTGTCCTCGGGCCTCCCAACCTCGTCGGCATTTCTAAGGATGAGCTGCAGGAGCGGTGCACCACCAATCACCAGCGGTTCGAGCTCTGGCAGCAGATCCAGGAGTTCAGGACGCACCTCGACCAAGATGCGGTTTCTGAAGCTCCTTCTGATCTCCGTAATGAAGAGCAGTATCGCCAAGAATTGGAATCACTCAAGAAGCGCAGCATCGATTCCGCATGATCCCAATATGAGCTTGATAAGATGGAGAAACTCATGCAGAAGCATTCCCAGATCAAGGCCGCCAAACGTGCACGCACGGCTCGCGAAGGTGCAGCGGCTTCATTCAACCGAGCATTGCAGCAGATGGATGCAAGCCGCTGCCCCTGTTCACCGCGCACAGGCCGGTGGCTCTGACTGACGCGTGGGGCGATGCAGAGGGGGCGCGCGGGGTGGGAGGGGGGGCGGCGCCGTGCAAAAATAATGGGGTCGGGGCGGAGGGGGCGCGCTGGCTGGCGCGTAGGGCGACGCGGAGGGGGCGCGCGGAACGGGGGGGCGGTGCCGCGCCGAACTAAAAGGGTCGGGGCAGAGGGGGCAGAGGGGGCCAGCTGGTTCTTGGCGGGGGGGTGGGCGGGGGCGGGGGCGGGGCGGGGGGGGCGGGGGGGCGGGGGGGGTGACGCGCGGAAGGGGCGCGCGGATGGGGAGAAGGGGCGGGTGCCGCGCCTAAATGAAGGGGTCGGGGCGGCGAAAGAGTCGGCGCCGTGTCGAAATGAAAGGGGCCGGGCGGAAGGGTGCGCGCTGCTGGCGGGTGAGGCGCGCAGAGGGCGCGCAGGGGCCGGGGGGGGCGCGCTGGCTGGCAGGCGGGCGGGTGCGGGGGGGGTCTTCTGCAAGGAGGGCGCGCGCTGGCAGGCGAGTGGGGGGAATGCGGCGGGGGCGCGCGGCACGGGGGCGCGGCGGTGCCATGCCGATATAAAAGGGCCAGGGCGGAGGGTGCGCTCTGGCGCGCGGGCGGAGGGATGCGGCGGGGGCGCGCGGGATGAGGGGGGGCGGCGCCGTGCCGAAATGTAAATCGGGGCGGAGGGGGCGCGCTGGCTGGCGGGCGGGGCGACGGAGGTGGTGCTCGGGATAGGGGGGGCGGCGCCGCGCCGAAATAAAGGGGCCGCGGCGGAGGGCGCGCGCTGGCTGGCGGGCGGGGGCGACGCAGAGGGGGCGTTCGGGAAGGAGGGGGCGGCGCCGAGGGGTCGGGGCGGAAGGGGGCGCGCCCGCTGGTGGGCGGGGCGACGCAGATGGGGCGGGGGGGCGGTGCCGCGCCGCAAAAAAGGGGTCGGGGCGGAGGGGGCGCGCTGGCTGGTGGTCGGAGCAACGCGGAAGTGGGGCGCGGGACGGGGGCGGCTGCGCCGTGCCGAAATCGATCAAGTGGTCGGAGCTCTAGACACCCTGTGCAAGAGAAAATTGTATTAATAATAACAACTATAACTTTCCATGTGTATAGATAAGTATTAATTATAAATAGCATATGTAGCTCGAAGTCTAACTGGCGATTATGCCCAATACTTCCGCTAGAACAGACGGCGAAACCGATTCTGTTCAAAGTCGGCATGGCAAAACAGACGGCGAAACCGATTCGGTTCAAAGTTGGCATGGCGGCTCAGCCCAGGACGTCCTCCAAGTCCCAACTCGAACCCCGTCGGGTCCGGAGTCGACATTGGGGCGCGCTGCTGCTCGCAGGCTCCGGCGCTCGATGGCGCGATGGCCCCTGCCCACCAGCGGGGCCTTCGTTCGGCACCGTCTCGGTGGAGCCACGACATGGTTCAGAATTTTTGCAGCGGCGACGCATCTGGTGCTCGCTTGGCACCGTCGACGCCATGCGACGCAGGCTGCGTTTCGGGGGCGCCCAGTCCAGCACTATCGCACGGAGCATCACGGGCGCGACGGGCGCGGGCGAGCGGCCGTTCATTGCTCCACAGAGCACGGCGCAGGGTCCAGTTCGAAGCACGAGCGCTGCCAACGCCAGGCGGCGCCTGGTTGGGGACCTCAGGGATTGCACGCCCTGTGGTTCAATGGTCCTCAGGACGCGCGTGAGCCCAAGGTGTGCTTGCCGCGTGAAGCTCCACCGATAGCACGCCGCCTGTGTCAGCCCTCCTTACACCGCCTGCACCACACTCAAGGGCCTCTGTGGAAAAGCACACGTTTGCGCTAACACGCGTTCTGAGGATCGCTAAGTGACGCGATGGAATGCAAAGAGGCCCTGGGCAAGTAACGAGAAGGGTCGCAATCCCCGCGCAAGCGCATCCTTCCTAACCCTTGTCAACCCTTGATATAGGGGTGCTGTTAAGACTCCAGAGCGCTCCAGGCGGAGTGCAGACGGAACGAGGCAATGAATAGCAAGGAGTGGGCCACGGGCTTCCACGAGGGTTTGAACAATGTATGGATGACAGAATACTTCGCGCGGGCACTAAGTGATTCGTTCCAGGAAGGTGGAGGCCATGGCACGGACAGCGCTCACAGTGGGCGCGTCGAACACAACAAGCACTGCGATTTAAGTATGACGGTGTGGGCTTGGCAAGAATAGTGCGCGCGGCAGAGCTGGCACGTGCTCGACGAGGCGCGCGCAAGCGCTCCCGCATCTTATCCAGAGGGACACGCACCATGTCCTCAAGAGTTGCATCTAGTCCGAACCAGAAGCCATGGGACTTAGGTTTGGTGACCACTCGCGCGTTTCACCTAGCTGCGTGGAGGTGATCGCTTCCCTCTTCAGTCAAGGGGCGGTTGGAAACCCAAGCTTCATGCTGCCGATTGATGGACTGGTGACTGGTTGAGACAGAATGAGGGAGAAAGACAAGGAGTGGGAGGGACGAGGACGAGGACGAGGCCCTCCTTTCCGTAAATGTCGATAACACTTCAAACCCTCCCCAGACATCCGACGTCAATTCGGGAGCTCTCGACCCCAACCTTGGGTAGGGTTGTTCATCTTGGATCGTTTTCTGGTACCCAGGAAGCCCAGAAACGAGCCCAGATGCCGAAAGTTTGGCAAAGGTCGCAGTGTTTAATGTGCTCCTGGCGGTGAAGGCCTGCGTCCTCGTCATTACCCAGACCCCCGACGTCGGGATGGTTCCACAA